GGGGGGGCTTGTGTGTGTGTGTGTGTGTGTGTGTTCGACCATCGACTTTGATGAAGGTTTGTAACCTCCCTCAGTCAACACACGGAATACCGCCCAGTTATGTATCCACGCCGCTCTCGTGCCAAAGGGCCTATGGAAATAGACCCGTAGATCCTTTGCACCTAGAACATTGCTATCAGGGAAGTACATCAGCTAACAACGGTTAATCGACTCCAAACATGCCGAAGTGAATTTTAAACGCGTCTATCTGTGGACTGTAGCCTAGTTTACATTAACAGTCGGCCCAACTAAATCTTTGCAAGTGTGACCAACAGATAAATCGCGGTGGCCCTGAAAACAACTCATGACGATCGTTGACTCACAGGTCTCCGAAGACACCCATTTGCATATTTGCGCGTTTGTAAATGTCTACCCTGACTGAATGGTTTACCGTACAGTCACCGGCTACAAGTCCAGACACGTGTTTCACCGATCTTGTTCAACTGCATGACGCGGTGACGAGGGGTTGGCTCATCAGTAGGTTCCACGTGTGCTTTCTGGTATATAAGAAGTGATTTATGGTATACTTTGAAAGGGCGGTATTTCCACCGCTTGTCATCAACGGTCCTTTAATCCTTTTGTGTCCAAACCATCATGTATGTCTGTTTTTATGGTTTTGTAATGGTTCTCAAGCATGCAGGGCAACTGATTATGCACGGAGCTCTGTTTTTTTTCACTTTGGGCGTTACCGACGACAAACTCGGGTGACCGGCGGTGTGATTCCGTCCGCCAGCCCGGGTAGACAGACCAGACCTAAAAGGCCTTTTTTTCTTCGGGCGGACCATGCGCACAATAATAAGCTACTTGTCCGCACCTCAGTGCCAGTAAAGTGTTTCCGCCCAAATCTATGCAATCGGTGGGAGCTCCGTCGTCTATGCGCCAATTGAAATTGCTGCTTCTACTCGATTTTGTCGCACACCTTTCCAGGGTCATGCTCCCTTATGCGCGTAGAATTACCTTCTGTCGTGCTCGTTCTCGCGGTGTTTCCGCACCTAAGGACAATTGTTTATCAGATTTGATGCAGTTGCGCGCAAGTCGACTACATCGGGGAAGCTGGCAGACTGCTCTGGGCGCGGATGGCTGAACATGCAGCCGCCGTAGTGTGGAGGAATGACACCAACGCCCAAATCGCGACTCATTCGACAAGACGCGGCCACGTATTCAAGTCGGATGAGGTCGAAATTCTCGTGCAAGATGACTCCCATGAGCCACGAGCTGTTTGAGTCATGGTTAACTGCCCCCCTCCCCACCAGTTTTACGACCACCCCGCCCCTTATTTAGTGTTGAGACCTAGTCTGGGCAAAGTAATTGGCCACTCGAAACGCACGGGCCAGCCCGGTTTCGAACGCCAGTGCCGGCGAGTCAGCTGGCCGAGAGAGAGAGAGAGATATGCTTTATTTTGAAAATATCATTCCAAAATTTTCAGCAGAAAACGCCATCCATTCAAAAAGCATAAAATTAGGCGCACAAACTCACAAAACCGGAATATCAAAAGTAATCCATGATCGCAAATGCCTGTAGTTCTCGACATCGTGGATAAATGTCCCGGGAAAAGTCGTCAAAAATAGGCCGAATTGGACTGCTGTCAAAACAGCGCTAGCCTTGTGACTTCACGCTCTCATGACTTTATTGCACCTCAAATAAACAGAGGGATAAAAATCGGTTTATCATGGGTGAAATAGGCCAACCGATGTGTACATTAGAAAATTTACATGCGAATTGAGAGGGGAAAAATGGCGGCTCAAATTGAAAAGCCTGGCGACCCGAATGCCGATTAGTTATCACACCAATGGGCAACCATTCTGGGTTAATGGGGGATCCGTTAAGTGGTATAGGTAAGCAGTAGCATAGCGACCTTATCCTTTAAATGCTGCAATTCCTTTAGTATGCATTATCCGTATCAGATGCTGTCTTCGAGTATGTACCCAAAACGTCAACCGAATATAGTTCTTGTTCTAGCGATCGCGTCTACTTCTGATCTGGAGGCAAGATTGACTATAGAGGCCCCAAAAATCCCGTCCACTTATAATAAAAACTGCTTTCAAATGTTCGGTAGCCCGACTTCATTTTTTTTTCGTTACATTTCACCAATAGGAGGATGAATTTCCATTTTCGTTAAATTCCGCCTACATAAGGTCAAATTTTCCTCGATTAGCATTCGTATCCTACGCAATAAAAGTTTATGTTGATTGAATTTGATTCTATTTAGCATATCAAAACAAAAATAATCTTATTTAATTTAATATTTTGGATCAATTCCGCCACAATTACATATTAATTTACGCTCACTAGCCAATGATTAAATGTTTGACCACAAAATACTTTAAGCAGTTGGGGGGGGGATAGATATCTAGAGGGGTCCTACAAATCAATTTTGCCGATGTGGATTTCCGAGAATTATCAATAGTTTTCCGGGTCTGTTGTAATCTTACCAGTTGGAAGTTTGGCCGGGCCCCCTCTAGCAATTTCCTGTTGCTGTTAAGTAGGATGCGAGGTTTCATAAAGCATTTGAGAACGACACCTAGTTGAACGAGTTGGCTGTCGTTAGTTACATCGCAATTCGGGCCCGCATACGACCCCTAGGCGGCCTTGATTGACGGATTCATCTTAGTGCCCTTCGTCTACTACGCCCTACACGATGTAAGGGAGCTCAAAGTTACAGGCTCTAGCGTTGTCTGGCTTAGCCCGAATTAGGCTGCAGAGTGTAATTACCCCCACCCCAAAGGCGGCCTTCGTGACCTGCTTTTTGGTCTCACTAAGGGTTATGGGCTGGTTGTGGCTGACAGTAGTTTTAAAGTGACCAGAAAACGTTGTTTCTTTTCACGAATTGATTGCATTCTTGTGGGCAGGTGTACTCCTCGATTTTTCCTCATCTTGTCCATCCGACACGGTGACAACCTCCGATCCCAAGGCCGTAAAGGGTAGCCTACACTTGTATCTACGAGAGCCGCCGTCTCACAAAAGTCCGATGCCTCGATACCTTGAAGCAGTCAACTGCCTTCACCGGGTTGTCACTAGCTGCCCTTTCCCCAGCGGCTTTTCAAATTTTCTGTGTAAATGAATGAGGAATGAGTCATATCAGGGTTGCAGCTTTGTTTACTCACTCACCTGGGCCATAGCAGGCGTAAACTTGAAGGCTGACTGTAGACAAACATCTTTCAGTTGTTGGCACACTCAAGTCGCCGCAGAGTCAAACTCCAGAGTACTATTTCGTCTGACGACACAGTGTGTGCTGACTGAAGCAGGTTCAGACAGAACACATTGCCTCAGAACTGAGACAAACCTCGGCAACGCATAAATACAGTCGGCGGTCAGTCAGACCATCAAAGTAAAGACGACCTCTGCCACGCCACCAAATGACTGATTACCGGTGTAGAAAGAGCAGTTTGGCAGTCCTTTGGCTGCGCACCCCTACACCTCTAGAACAGTTGCTTTTGCGAGTTCTCCCGTGACTGCTGGCACAATTCGTGTGTTAATCAGACACCTACGAGGCAGGGTTACTTCTGCGCATTCTGAGAGTATATTTGAGAACGTGTGACACGCTGATCCATCCCACAAAACTATTATAGTACCAAAAAATAAATTGGCGAGCAAATATTGGCTTTCAAAAATCCTCTTCGAGCCTGTTCATTTATATGGTAATGAAACAAATAAACTATGCTCTTTGGTGGACAGATGTAGTGTTGTTACTGTCAGGGGCCTAAGCCAAGCTGTATCGAAAACCTTTCCAGCAGCCGACACCCGTATACTGTTCTCAACTAAGTCAATCTTATACGGAGAGATAAAGGGCAAACTGCCAGCCCTGACCACCTCTATGTGCATCTACTCATTCACCTGCTCCTGTAGGACAGAATAAATTGGTCTCACAAGCCGGCGTCTGTCCAGCAGAGTACGAGAACACCTTCTGGTATGGCCAGAGGAGGGCCAAGTAAAGAGCATTAATAAACCTATTTTAGCGCACATAGCAGACTCAAACTATCGTGTGGATGTCAGAGAGGCTTTCCGAGTGATCTACGAGTTGTCCTCCAGCTATTCAAATTACTTGGCTACAGCAGAAGCAGCTGCCAGCTACGCAGACCGAGAGTGTGCGCTCAAAAGAACTTTGTAACAGCGCCGTAGTTACCATGGGCGAAAGTCGTTAATACAAACGCACACGGCTTATCACCGGCCTCGGAAACGGGTCGCCCCAGAGACGAACAAACCCCCAATTCAACCGTGCGCACCTTATCACCTATCTTGGCCGCCGGTCCGCCTAAAAACTGACATTTTGACCTCAATTCCCCCCACCCTCCATGGACCCTGACAACAACAACAACACTTCATCTGTCCTCCAACCGGCATAGTTTATTTATTTAATTATCATAGAAATATACAGCCCTAAAGAGAATTTATCGAAAACAAACGTATGCTTGCCCATTTTTTCTTTTGATATTTACAATGGGAATTTTTGCAAATATTTTAGTACTGTTGCACTTTAAAGAATATAAACCTCAAGGTAATCAACCTCATCTCCATGAATTCGCAACCAGGTAAAAAAAAACCCAGGATGGTTTCGATCCTGGCCGTCTTGATCAGATCTTGAGCCCCCTAAGAAGACTGTTGTTCGTTTCAGCGATTTCTCATTCATGCCAGCCAATCCACACGTAAACTAGCAAACTAGGCTTCGAAGTAGCACCCTTGTTTTCGCAGACCAGAATTCGCGTTATTCAGAACAGCAAAGAGTTACTTGAGGCCTACTAGAAGGTCAAATCTACGCTATTATTTGCACCCTAGATCTTGCGTCTTGCAATATCCCAAGTGTCCTCATTTCGCAGTCTCCGTCTGAAGTTGACCCTGCGTGACTTACGTTGTTGAACCTAAAGCCAACCCCTTCTCACGTCACACGGAACACTTTGTTGCCCACTCCGAACGTTACTGGGAGCAACATTACCTCTTAAGGGCATCGATATCTTGCGAAACACCACTGTCACCCGACATTTCGACCGACTTTGACGATGAGGTCTGCAGGAAGGTGGGCATAGGCATCAGGACTTACGCGTGGAATAATTTATAGTAGTATTAGACTTGCGCAGCATCTACCACACACTCTCCTCCTCTTTCATCTGCACCCAGTTTAAAGAAGGAGTCAAGAAAGCAGGAGGCTAGTTGTTGATGCGTCGTGAATCCATACCGAAGCGTACTACCACACTCCTTGTTCTATGCACAAAGACCCAGGATTTCCCATAAAAGAAGGCGGCGCTAGAACCCCAACTGAC